TGTCATGATGTTAGTATTTTCGGTGGTACCCAATCATCTTTAGTAACACAAGAACTCTTCAGGATATGGAATAAAGAGTGTTGTGTGTTCTTTTACAGCGTGTATATGTCAGCTGTTGTACACAGATTTCAAGTTTTTAATACTTTGTAATAAGGCAGTTCTCCTCTGGATAAATCCTGCAAGCCATCTGAGTCTCTGTTCTTAGGACTTCAAAGCCAACCAGCCCAGAGTAATTCATAATTACTAATTGCTAATATTACCATATATATAGCTGCTTTGGGAGGAAAATACATGGGTAAAACCAGAGTTTTGGTTTTTTTTTTCTTTTTCTTTTTTTTTTTTGGTAGGTTGATGTTTGCTCATGTCTGCCTGTTCAAGGGCCAGTGTCCTTGGAATCTGTGTGGCTTTTCTATCCTGTTGCTCTATGCACCATGCAGTCTTAATGCATGCTTCACTTCTGTACATGCTCTGTGACTCTTCTCCCTCTGACTGCCCTCACCTCCCATCTTGTATGTGTGAGTGTGTGAGCAATTGTGGAGAGTTGCTTTGATCAAGGTGTGGGAAGGAAGTAAAAAAAATCGATAACTTCAAAATAAAAGCATGCAAACTATATACAAAGATCCATAAAACCAAACCAATGAAAGACAGCATAAAGCATTAAAACAAGTTATACCCCGTAACACATAAAATAGCGCATTGTTTGTAGATCAACTGAATAACTTTACCCTCACATTTAGCATTTTTGTGATTGCTGTCTCTTGCAAATGTATCTAACTTACTACCACTTGGTAAATCTGGCTGTGAGAGCCGTACCTGCAGCTTGAATTCTCCGTGGTTCTGAATGTGTTTGCTGGTCAATGTGACAGATCATAACACGCCAAAACGACCCACAAGCCACCGGGAAATTTCGGTGTACCCCCCATGCCCAGTTTATCTCTGCAGACATCATTTCTGCTTATCCAGCTAGGATAATCATCATGAAAAATCGTTGTAACTCTTTAAATTTGATTTTACGCAGGTTGCATAGATAGATAGATAGATAGATAGATAGATAGATAGATAGATAGATAGATAGATAGATAGATAGATAGATAGACTGCGTTTCTTGCACTATTTATGTCTACTTACACTCGTTTGCAATTTGCTATAGAGGTTTTTGAGGCTCTTTAACTAAGCACCCACAAAATAAGATATTGTAATTTGATTTCTAAAAGGTGTTAACGATAACGATATCTTCACCAGAAAACCACTTCAAAGTCCCAAAAGAAATAGAAAATTTGCTTCACTAAAATTTTTATCAAACTAATTTTCAATTGTGCGCTGAGGACGAGCAAAACGAGAAAAGCACAAATCTGTCGCCAAAGATATTAACTGAAACTGGACAACGTGGAATGGAGATTTTGTTTATTTTAACGATGTGTTTATGCTGTTCGTTTGTTTTTAAGCTATTTAATATATTCTCGTAGGAGAGGCAGAGCGGTCGGAGGACTGCAGGTGGGAACAAGCTCTTGTCGGGGATATGGACCATATTTGTATGGCATGTTAACTATAAGAGATGTCATTCACAAACACTTTCCAAAAAATGTCAAGCTAATTCCCACGGGTGTCTTAGGGGCAACATCAAGAATAATATATAAAGTTACAACTGTTCATCATCATATGTGAACACCATGAAAACTGAACCCAACAATAAGAAAGGATAATCAAGCTTGCGCTTGAAAAACATCGTCAACTATTTCAGGTAAGGGAAAAGTCAGTGCTGGAACCAGTTTTGAAATCTGGTGATCCAGTTTTAAATTCTTTTTAAGTTTCACCTGAGCAAAAATATTAAAGTCACGGTGGCGTGTCTATCGTACACCTCTTGCTGATGAAGCGCTTGTTGGGTGTAAACGTGTTGGGCAAGCACACTGATTGTGTCTTCATACATGCCATATTTTTAGACTATATCACGTGGGGGTGTGGCTTTAAAACAGCTTAAATTCTTCAGTTTTTTCCCTCTTGAATTTCATTCTCATATTCAGGCACTCAGATTCTACTAAAAGGCTTCCAAATGTTTCCTCTTTGGGGTCTAGGATTTGGTAGGTTGAAATCGTTTACAAAATGACTTTAGGATTATTTGAGATAAATTCTATTTATTTGATTCTCTACCTACATATATATACTTTTAATAATGCTTATATGTCCATTTCAGCCTGGCTGATTTTTGGCTTAACCACTAATTCTGGTGAGTTTTTCTTTCTTTTTTTTTCGTGTGTGTGTGTGTGTGTGTGTGTGTGTGTGTGTGTGAGAGAGAGAGAGAGAGAGAGAGAGAGAGAGAGAGAGAGAGTTTGATTGAAGGGTCACTTGATCACTATTTCCACACAGCTGATATAGATTTTTTTTTTTTTTAATTTCCGGGACTGCTATGTTGTACGTCTGTGCGTATATATGTTTGTGTTTAAGAGGCAGACGATAGATGGAGTCATATAAATACTGTATACGAGTTATAGGTTCTAAGGCTGCATGTATTTATACATAATGCGACATGTCAATTTGGCATCATTGTTTTTAAGAGCAGATAAGTGGTTTTAAGTCTCATGTGCGTGATGACGCAATAAGCACTGTCACGCGCATGATACTTTTATCTACTAATTTATTGAAGAACAACTCCAAGTTTGTGGAAACTGTGCCTTTGGTATTATTTTCTTCTCTTGCCTGAAACCCTCCTCCTAATGTCTCTGGTGTGCATTTTGCCGTGACGTAGAATTTTACAGTGATGATGCTTTGGGAAAGAAAAAGGGCAATCCGTTTGTTTGGGTGACATGTGGGTGGAGGCGCTTGGCTGATACTCGCATTTGAAGAAACCCCAGCTCACTCTTGTGCTGTTCATTAAAGCACAGTGAATCATCTGTAACCAATGTAATTATTGAATGATTGATAGCTTTAGAAGCAACTGAACTATACAATATTTAAGCAATCCCAGTGTTACTTTCATATGGAGATTAACAAAATTACTATCAATCTAGATGATTGTTGAAATATGAACAGAGTTTACTCTAATTATATTTGCCAGTACTCACACTTTTGATCTTGTGCTTGCTGACAGAGCCTGCAGTGGGAGCTAATGCAACCTCCAGAAACGACTGTAATCGGTAGGTCGCTCCCTCTTCACTCACTGTGTGTATGTGCACAGGTGTTCTCCTTTTATAATGGGGAAAAAATGCCTGAACCCTGAGGAAAAAAGGAACTTCCCATTGAAAGTGTTTTGGAATTTCCTGCCTTTTTGGAAATCCACCCAGACACAAGGGATATCAATGGAAAGCCCAGGATGTCCTCTATTTAGTACAACAGGACTTAGAAGGGTAGCTCAAATAAGTCAAAAGACATTGACTAAAAACAAATGTCCATTACATAGGACATAAATGTATAGGCTGGTTCTCAGTAAGATATTTTTTTCTTTTTTGGAATGCTCAATTCAGTTTCACTAACCACACACAACCTGTTTAATGTCAGACTTAAAGAAACGCAAGAACAGAGGCAAAATAAAGCAACTGAGTAATCTATCAGTCTGGAGAGGGTTAAAAAGGAATTTCTCAGGTTTTGGGACTCCGCCAAACTATGGTGAGAGCCATTATGAACAAAAGGACAAAACAGTGGTGTACCTTCCCAGGAGTGGCTGGCCTACCAAAATGATTCCTAGAGCATATCTGGTGGTCACAACAAATAAAAGACAACATTTAAAGACCCACAGGATTCACTTGACTCACTTAAGTTTGGTGCTCATTATCCAACAATAAGAAAGAAATTGGGTGAAAAAGTGGCATCCATGGTGGAGCTCCAAAGACAAAACTGTTGCTCCAAATAAACCTGTAGTGGCAAATTTGTCTCCCAAGATTTGAAAAAATAATTCTTCCACTTGTTAAGTCTTCCACTCTACAATTTGAATATGCATCATCAGCCAAGTTCAGAAACTCTGTTTTTTAAGTAGAAGGGATTTTAAAATGCAATCGAGTAAGTCATATTTTTAAGTAAGCACATGCTCAACATGGGTGTAGATGTGTGTATGCAGTAGCATGTACTCACAGATTATGGCTACTCATTTTAACATTCTGAGTGTTAAGTGTTTTCATATCAGTCCATCAGAGGTCAGTATTGCATGGGATTATGAAGGAGTCCAGCTGTAAAATGTTTTTTATATTTATAAGTAATTTATGTACTTTTATGTCAGATGAATAGAAATGAGTGTCAGGGATAATGTCCTGGATTTTGTCTTCTATGCTTTTCAGAAGAGACTGCAATGGAATACAGTATGACATCCAAGAGGCTGTTTGCTGTGAAAATAAGCTTCACCCTGGTGTAAGTCTATTTTGCTGTGGAAAGGAACCTTACAATCCTGGAACAGCCACTTGTTGTAAAATACAACATGGACACAGCACCACAGGTAATCAACTTGTAAAACAACTAACAAAAGAATGATTAAAATTCAAAGTGGAAATTTGACTTTGTGATCTTGCAAGAAATTGGGCACCTTAACAAGGTGAAAATGAGAATTTAATAATGTAAGTATTAGTTAATGGTGTGATGAGCATAAAAAGGTTTAAAGCAGCAGCTTTACTTATGGGGAGATCGTGGCTCAAGAGTTGGGAGACGCCTTGTAATCGGAAGGTTGCCGGTTCGACCCCCGGATTGGACAGTCTTGGTCGTTGTGTCCTTGAGCAAGACACTTCACCCGTTGCTTACTGGTGGTGGTCAGAGGGCCCGGTGGCGCCGGTGTCCGGCAGCCTCGCCTCTGTCAGTGCGCCCCAGGGTGGCTGTGGCTACAATCTAGCTTGCCATCACCAGTGTGTGAAAGTGTGTGAATGGGTGGATGACTGGATATGTAAAGCGCTTTGGGGTCCTTAGGGACTAGTAAAGCGCTATACAAATACAGGCCGTTTACCATTTATGGAACAAGATATTACTCCAATGTTGGAACTGCAGTTTGTGGAACATTTGAGCTGTATTGGACTAGAAAACTTAATACTGTGTAACCTTAACTGAATAAACTGGAAACTTAAAAATTATTGTAGCTACTGTCCTGCTAACATAAATAAACCATGTGCAAAGACCATGCTTTGGATTTCCTTGGGGTTACAAAGTGCCTCATGGAGATTAGAAACAGCCAAATACAAAAGATTAAAACAAAACTTTTAAAAAAGAGCTTTTAAAAAGACCATACTAATAAGACTATGATGATATATGATTCGTCCATGGATTCATCTGTTAGCACTTAAACTAAGTTAGATATTTTCATTTTCATTAATTCAAAGCTGCTGCAACAGTCCTTTTTTACTGCTCTGAGTACGTCACTCACACTGACATTCTGCGCAGTAAGCAGATGAAGGGCTTTTAAAAAATGTCAGTGAGGAAATTTTCTCTGAGTCATTCACTTCTCCCAAGAGTTAATGGCTCCAGTGCATGATTAAACACTGCGAAAAACACTGGTGCCAAACCACCACAGTCTTCATCAAAAACATGTTTTAAACCCTCAAGAGTTGTGGTTGGTTTACGTAAAAGTGAAACACCCCTAGCTATTTTAAGATTGAGCTTTGGGACTCGTGGAACTTGTGAACCTTCTAGTACTGAGTTAATGCACTTACCATGACACACTTCCAGCTGTTACACAGGGTCTAAGTGAAAAGGTGTCCAAGTGCTGTGACCTGAAGGCGTACAACCCAGTCAATGAAATATGCTGTCAATCAACCATCGTAGCAAAACCTTCACCAATGGCTGAATGCTGTGGTAAAGGTGAGCAGAACTGAACACACTGATGAAAAACATCACATTATAACCCTATACCAAGGAAAGTTAACTGTCCAGTTAAAAGAACCTATGAAAATATACAAATTGTTTTGGAGAAGTTTAAATATAATGAGAAAATGTGATTTTATCACAGAATTTTCTGGAAAATAGCAGAAAAGTTATCTTTTAATGTAGTGCAATTGCTTATTCAGTAAAATAATTCAGTAGTACAACATTTGTAGGAGGTAGAAATATAATGAATCACGATGGTCTTTTCCACAGAGCCTTATGATAAGGACAAGCAGTTGTGCTGTGGTCCGAATGAGAGCAAGATGATTCTGATGAGGAATTCCAGTCACCACCAGTGTTGTGGTCACAACCAGTATGACACAGAGAATCAGTGCTGCTGTTCAAATGAGGAAAGCGTGGAGATACAATCGAAGGATTCATTCTGTTGTTTCAAGGACTTTGGTGTATCTGCAGGTCAGTTCAGGACTTAACTGCATGTAACACTGTGTGGGACCAATCTAATGGAAGTTGATGCAGTTTGAGTCACTGTACAAATCAGTCTTAAGGGGGGTGGGGGGGGTGGGGGGGTGGAATGATTGACTAGAAAGTATGCAAGCAAAGACAAATTAGTAAACCTGCCCCAACCATGTGCATTTTCCTAACTTGCAATTCAAAAACAAACAAACAAACAAAACTGTTTCCTGAGCAAATGTGTTATTTTCTGTTTTCCCTCATGCAATCTCTTTGTCTAAAAGTTATTATACAGTAGTTATGTCAAACCAAAAGCTCTATAGGTCATTAACACTGGAACTCCAGTGTTAATTTTGACAGCAAATCTTGACTTTGTTTTAGTCAGTCTGTTGTCTTGTCATTTACGTTTAGTTATAAGTTCAACTAAAAGTAAAAGAATTTGGAAGCCTATTTTTAGTCAACTAAACATCATGAGATTGTAGTAAACTATATCTGAAGTTGATTGAGTTGACTAAAATACAAAGTGTAAACGTTCGCTGTGATTTTAACAATGTTTCACACGGTTTAAAAAATGTCCTTTGTTCTTTGTCATTAAATGCCAAATATGCATGTACTTACTCATCTCTCCCTCCAAAGCATTGACATTTCTTTCATGAGAAACAGGGAGCATGGGAGCAAATTATGGTATTTATTCCCTCAAATAAGTTGTACAGTTTCTTGGAGACAGATCAAATGTGCACATTCCTCACATTCCACAGAAGAAATTTGTTTAAGTTTGAGAACTAAAATAGAATTTGTACAAGGAAATGGCTAATGACATCGGACCAGACAGCACAACAAAAGAATTCAGGTCACCTGATCCAGCCCTAATTATATGCTTCATTTAAAAGAAAAGTTTTTAACCAAATTTTTAGAGGGTCTGTGTTTTATTCTATTCGGACTCATTCAATTTAATTTTCAATTATGTTTTATTTATTTTGCCCTAAATCACAACAACAGTTTCCTCAAGGTGCTTAAATTGTTAGGTGAAACCCTAAATAAGAAAACAGAGAGAACCCTAACAGTCATACAACCCCCTATGAGCAAGTGCTTTGGCAACAGTGGGAAGGAAAAACTTTGCTTTAACAGGAAGAAACGTCCATCAGAGCCAGGTTCAGGGAAGGGTGGCCATCTGGCGTGACCATATGGGGTGAGGAGAGGAAGACAGGACAAAACACATGATGTGGAAAAGAGCCAAAGATGAATAATAACGAAAGCAGAGTAGAGTATAAATACATTAGTGGAAAATGTGACTGAAGAAGAACTACTCAAGGCAAGATTCAAGGTCAACTGATACAGCCCTAACTATATGCTTTATCAAAAAGAAGAAGAAGAAGTTTTCAACCTAATCTTTGAAAGCAGGGAGGGTGTCTGTCTCCCGAATCTGTCCCCCACATATGAGAGTCCTGAAAGCTGAAGGCTCTGCCACCTATTGTTCTTCTTCTAAAGGAATTTTATGCTGGTTACTATGAATGATGCGTGTATTTTGACCTGGTCTTTGCCTCTACAGCTCCTTTATGTGGAAATACAACCTTCAACATGCATACGCATTTATGTTGTCAGTCAACTGTTGTTGCCAAATCTTCACCACAGCACAGATGTTGTGATAAAGGTAAGCAGAGCTAATCAAAATACAAGTATTTCACTATAAAAAATATTTAAATGTATTTAAATGATCTGTTGTATGAGGAACATATAAAACCTGTTTTCTTAAAAAAGTTTAACATTAACTTAATTATACACTATATGCATTTCATTTTCTAGTATCTGGTTCTTTTTCCACAGGGACATATGATGTGGAAAAGGAGCTGTGTTGTGGTCCAATTAATGATAAGAAGATCCTTAAAAGGAACTCTACAGATCACCAGTGCTGTTATCATGATCAGTTCAACACAAAGACTGAGTGCTGCTGTTGGAAAAAGGAAAGTGCTGAAGTACAATTGAAGAATTCATCTTGCTGTTCAGAGGAGCCACCTGTGTTTGAAGGTCAGAACTTGTCTAATACAATTTCATGCACATCTTAGACATTACATTTGATATTCAACTGAATTTCAGTTGGCATTTTGTATCTTTGCAAAATTCTAGTTGGTGGAAAAAGGCTACATTTACTCCATGATATGGAGCTGGTGTTGTAATTTTGGGATGGCAGCATGGACTGCTAAATCCAATAATCAGAATCACAATACTTTATGACGGCTCGAGGAAATAATGTGGTCACAGTTGATCCAAGTCATTAACTAGTAACCAGAACAATAAAAAATCCTGAGCATTGTTCAGCAGATATTAAAAGACCTCAGCCACCTCTGTCTCTTCCTGAAGAGTGCAGTGGTGTTTAGCCCAGTCCAGTTTATTGTCAATGTGTACTCTAAGGTATTTATACATACTATGTCCACATGGAGTCCCTGGATTGAAACAGGGGTCACAGGTTTCATGATCCTCCTAAAGTCCACAATCAGTTCATTGTTCTTTGTAATGTTGAGCTGCAGATAATTCTGCTTGCATCACATGACAAAGGAGTCCATGTGTGGTCGAGTACCTGGTACTCTACGTCAATGTATCACCTTCACTGATGCATTCAACCACCGGAGACTCATCAGAAAACTTCTGAAGGTCTCTGTGCAGTGTCTCCCATCAGTGGTGTAGAGGGTGAATAGCCCCAGTGTTGTTGATCATCTCGTCAGACACAGTTTTGAAGACACACATGCTATGAACCTTCAGCCAGGTAAGCAATCCAGGACACAAGAGAGGCATCTACCTGCATTGCTGTCAGCTTCTCACACAGGATGGACAGCCTGATGGTACTGAATGCACTAAGGAAGTAAAAAAAACATGACCTTCACAGTACTTGCTGGCTGATTCAGATGGGCATAGACATGGTTGAGCAGGTAGATGACGGCGTTATCCTCTCCAAGACGGGGCTGGTAAGCGAATTGAAAGAGGTTCAGATATGGAACTGATCAAGGATGAGTCTTTCCAGGTTCTTGATGTGGTCACTGCCACCAGTCTACAATGACCAGAAAAACAGTTTGGTCATCAATTCAATTCAGTTTTCTATATAGCATCAATTCATACCAACCTTTCTTTCAAGGCATGTTATGTTTAACCCACTATCATGGCAAAATGTGACGTTGGGTCCACCATGTACACTCGCGGTTTGCCTGTCCAATCGGTTGGGGTTATCAGGTCGCTATATTGCAAGGTAAAGAACCTATAATATTAGAAAGAAACCCCAACAATTACACATTATCCTATAAGCAAGCACTTGGCAACAGTGGTACTTTTACCAGGAAGAGCTCTCTAGCAGAGCCAGACTCATGAGAGGCACCCAGCCGCCACAACTGGTTGGGGTGAGGGGATAGAGAAGAGAGAACCAACAAAAGAAACAATATGGGAGAGAAAGCCAGAGTTTAATAATTACTAATGATTAAATGGTAGTAGTGTATTAAGGATTAAAATGGAAAATGAGAGATAAAGATGAATGGAGGACAGTTAGTGAACCAGGGAATGCAGACTGGTTAGGAGGAAGTGAAGATAGCTATGAAGAGGATGAAGAAGGGGAGCACAGGTAAAACAAAGGATGACAAGCAGATAGTCTGAAAAGGAACAGAATGAAGCACACCCTAAATATACACACAAGGTAATGAGGGAAATGCACAACAGGAGACACAGCTGAACATAATTAGACATGGTGAGACAGGGAGACTTAAGGAGCTAGAAACACAGAAACTGAGAGACTAGCAATGATAAATCATGAGGAAATCAAAAATTAACAAGAATAATACAAAACACTGGGCCACCGTCCCAGAACCATAACTCCTTTAGATGTATGAAGGTGTCTAGGGTAGAGGGCAGCGGTTTTTTTAAACAGACTGACAGTATGATCCTAGAGAGTGATTGAAGGCCTGAGGAAAGGATAAGAAGTGGATAGGCACTAATTTTCAAGAACAAAGGTAAACCACAACCATTAAATAGCAACTACAGAAGGATAAAGTTGATGAGCTATATCATCAAGCTGTGGAAAAGAGGTTAAGAGGAGAGGTGATGATCAGTGAGCTGCAGTTACTGCTTCATGCCAAAAAAAGCATTACAGATTCAGTGTTTGCTTTGAGACTGTTGATGGAGAAGTATAAAGAAAGTCAGAGGAAGCTTCAGTATGCATCTGTAGATCTACAAATCAGGGATCTGCTCTTAGCTCCTTCTTGCTGACCATGGTTATAGACAGGACAACAGGTCAGCCTGAGTTCAGGCAGTGCTGTGAACTATGTGCTCTGTAGTGAGAGAGTGAGGAAAAGAGGCTGGAGACTTGGAGTTAGGTCCTGGAAAACAGATGTTAGGCAGGATGGAGTGGGTGTCATGTCAATGAAAGACATTCCTCACTTCATTTAAAACAAAAGTTGCATTCAGGAGAAAACAAAAAAAAAAGAAATTACAAACCAGATGAGAAGGCATTTTACAATGTTAAATCTTTGAAATCTGTTTTAGACCTAAAGCTACATGGGTCTTGCATTTTAAAAACATAAAAATTAGTTCTGTCAGTGTTTATCTCGTTAAAATGGGGCTGCACAGCGCTAACGTGTTAACGAGCTAACTGCGCTAATGTGTTGACACCATGCAGCCCCACGCACAGGAGGATCTGCGCTAACTCACTAACGGAGATTTGTAGTTATTGCGTTAACGTCATTTTAACGAGATTAATGCTGACAGCACCAGTAAAAATGGAAGAATTGAAACAAATTCAGATGACATTTTTGTCTTGGATATAAAAAAAAAATTGTGCTTACTCAACTTTTTAGTAGCAAATGTAATGTTTGAAAAAACTGGGTTTTTTTATACATTCCTACCACCAGGGTGAATTAGGTTGAAGTCACTTAATGGTCCAAATACATTATCTCAGAAAATCTTATAGATCAATAGTCAAGATGGGAGTTAGAGTTGAAAAATTCAGCTTTATTTGTTTTCTTCTTGATAGCACAGGTGTTTTTTTTTTATATCGAGATAAGTTAATGAATTTACTGTGTAGTGCACCTCTTTCTTTTTCTGTTTATGAGAGTCAATATCACTCATCCAAGAGTCTTTCTCTTACCTTGTCTTCTATGTGACAGTAATCATCCAAATAACAGCATTTATGTGATTTATTTGATTGTTTTATAGTCTTTATTACTATAGGCTTTACTGGGCCTCACAAACCACAGCAAAAACAATAATATGGCATATACTGTTTTCTTAATTTATAAATGTGCATGTAGCCACTTAAATAGAAGCAGTAGCATTCCAACAGTAACTTACAAGGCCCAGTCAAAATTTCTGGTACCCATCCAAAGGGTGTATATTAGGGGTGCAACGATACACAAAATTTACGGTTCGGTTCGGTTCAGTTCGATACTTTGGTGTCACGGTTTGATATTTTTTCGATACAAAA